AGGGATTTGGAGATGGGGGGAGAAAAGATCTATCTTTTAGCTGGAGGATTACATTAAATTCGGAGCTCTAATATTTTTTCCTTAAATTGTTTTATTGGTACATTTTAGGTATGCAGTATGTTTACATTTATCATTGAGTGCTTGTTCCTGTACATGATGTATCTTAGTTCTTATTTTTTCTCCATTACCTGTGTGCCCTTCACTCTAACCACCCCCTTCCCTATTTACATAGACTTCGTTTCCATTTTTTTCTTTTCTCATAATTTTTCCTTTCCCTTCTTCCCTTTCCCCTTCCCCTCCCACCACCCTTACCCCTTTGGACCTTTTCTTCCTATTTCAAATTATCAATTATTCATTTTAATCATTTTCACCCTTATTTACACTTTCAGTTTCTCACACTAGAGAAGCTATTCGGTATTTACACGTGTGTCCTGTTTATTTCACTTAAGAGTATGTCATCAATATGCATCCATTTAGCTATAAATGACTCTAGTTTCTCATTCTTTATGGCTGAGTAGTACTCCATTTTATAAAAAAACCCACATCTTCTTTATCCAGTCTCCAGTTGATGGGCACTTGGGCTGTTTCCAAGCTTTAGCTATTACAAACTGTGCTGCTATAAACATGGGTGCACATATATCACTGTGGTATGATTCTTTTAATTCTTTGGGGAAGATACCCAGCAGGGGAATAGCTGGGTCAAATGGGACCAGAACTGAAAAAAATCAGACCCCTCAAATTAAAAGACCCAATTCAAAAATGGGCATCTGAAATGAACAGACATTTCTCAGACAAAGAAGTAAAAGCAGCAAATAATTATATGAAAAAATGTTCAACATCACTGGTCATTCAAGAGATGCAGATGAAAACAACACTGAGATTCCACCTCACCCCAGAAAGAATGGCTGCTATCAAGAAATCAACCAGTAACAAATGCTGGCGGGGGTGTGGGGAGAAAGGAACCCTTTTCCACTGCTGGTGGGAGTGCAGACTGGTGCAACCACTGTGGAAATCAGAATGGAGATACCTCTAATTTTTTTGGTACCAGAATCGAATTTAGGACCTTGAGCTTGCCAGGCGGGTGTGGTGCCACTGAACTAAATCCCCAGCCCACAGAGCTCATATCTTTAAGAGGAAAAGAGAGCAGTTGAAATGATACTGGGAGCAGGTACCAGGGTGCAGAGGGGCTGCTGGCCAAGGGTCCTGAAAGACAGTAGTAGGGAGTGAGGTATTTCTCGTTAAGGAAAAGCTGATGTGGTGGGGTGGGACCATGATCATCAGGTCCTGGCACACTGGGCCCAGCTGAGCTCCGAGCTGGACGGAGCTAAGCAGGGGTGGTGAGCTCGGAGCAGAGGTGGCTCCTCCACCCAGCTGGCCACCCCTTCCCAGACTCCCAGAGCCCTGGGGCTCCATGTGGGGCTGGGGAGCAGGGAGTCAGTTACAGCAGAGCCACCTGGAGGGCTTAGAAATGCTGAGTTGTCTGGGAGTTTGTATCTGTCTTCTGTAAAACCTTAGCCAGACTTTAGCAACAGTCTGAGGGAACAAGAGGCAGCATAAAAAGAGGAGAACTTGCAAACGCGTCTAGGTAAGGATTCTGCCCAGAGCCTGCAGGTCCCAGCTGGCCCGGGGCTTCATCAGCAGGGCCCTGTTCTATCTCCTTCCCCAGAGGCCCCAAACACAGTCTTGTGGTAGACTCTGGAAGTGCAGCAACCTTTTCTGAGCAGCCTCAGCAAGGATGTGGGTGTAGGCAATTCTGGGAAACACAGTGAGTGGAGAGAGGGAGGCAGGGAGGGATGAACTCACGTAGATGGTGCATTTATAAGCAGTCACCTCTGTGCATGACAGAGGCTCACCCCCCCCCCCCCTTAGGACCCGGGAGACCACACCTGGGAGTGTCCTGGGATGGAGGCAAGAGGCTGGATATTCGTCCTCAGCTCCTAGCCCCGGTTCAGGGTCTCCCTGAGGACGTTCAGTCCACAGCAGCCTAGTCGCTATGTGTCCATGGGAACCTCCTGGTGCAGGCGCAGTGCACTCAGAGGTGGGCTGCAGGGCCACGGGGTGGGCAGCCATGGTGAGCTGAGAATCCCAGGGCCAAACCCACACCTCCCTCCCAGTGCTCACTGCCTCTTCCTGCTCACCACAGCCCCAGGGCGTGGCTGGCTCACTGGCCCCAGAAGGCACTGGAGTAGGTAGCACCTGTGTTTACCGCTTCTCTGAGTGAGTGGGCTGCCTGGCCTGGTTTGGATATACTGGTCTGAATGGTCTGTGAGGTCCCTCAGAGACTGAGAGTCTGAGTTCCACATTCTCCCAGGTAAAACGTGGCACCATTTTGGGGCCCAAACTGACAATGAGCGGTGAACAGTAGGGCATACACCTCGGAGGCTCCTGGTCTCACAGGGTAAGAGCCACTCAATGCATAAGGTCACATAGGGAACCAGCTCTAATTAAGGGAAAAAAGATACTAGCAGAGACTGAGGGGAGTGACTTATCTTATAGCAGGAAAGAGAGGGGGGTTGATGGAGAGAGGCAGGGAAGAAAAGAGGCACAGGGAGACCAGCAATGGCCTGGGAAAGTGGCCAGAATACTGGGAAAGGCTTTAAATGCCCAGCTAAGTCTGAGTTTTGGGGGGACAGGTCTTGTAATGTTGCCCAGGCTGGCCTCGAACTCCTGGGCTCAAGCCATCCTCATACCTCTGCCTCCTAAGCAGCTGGGACTATAGATCTATTCCACTGTGCCAGGCCAAGTCTGAATTCTGATATGGATACAGAGTCCACAGGGAGGATGACAGAGGCTTGCTAAGTACCCACATCCACCCCTGGGCAACCAGAAGCCATACGATGTGTGGTCCTTGCCTGAGAGCTAGGAGCTCTCTCTCTTAACCACATGGCCGGACATGAGGACATGGGACAACTAGGTAGAGATAGTTCAGGAGAAGTTGTACGGAGAGGCTCTTGCTGGCTGCTACATTTCATCATGGGAGAGACATGAAGCCCCAGCAAAGCCACTGGGACTCGGGGTATGTTTGTTTCTGCTGCATCTCCTCTGCTGACTGATGCAAGAAGCCCTGGGAAGAACAATAAATATCTGCACAGTGTTCACTGCATTTCTTCCCACAAGCTGCCTATGACGTTAACTCAGGGACCTGACTTTACAGACTTGAAGCAGAAGAGCAGAAAAGGGAGGGAGGGACTTGGGGGTCCCTGTTGCTGGCAGGTGACAGAGGCCGGGATCAACCCAGCTGTCCAACTGCAAAGTCCTTTCTGAGTCTCAGGACCCCTCCACATTGGGTGTACATGCTGCTGGCAGATGCAGAAGGGGTTTTTCTGCTCTATGGAGAAGTTAAATTTAATTAGTTTGAATGTGCACTGGAATAAACATATGAACTGCACCTCAAACAGGCCATTTCATGGTTATTACTAATTAGGAGGAGGAGAAATTTTTAAAAAGTGAGTTTTCCCAGAGTTAACCGAAGATCTTTATCTTTAATTTAATAAATCATACTAGTACAGGGTTACACGGATACAGCCAGGCCATGCCAAGAATGGCAAGAGACCAAGGAAATAGTTCACCATGGAAGAGGCTTAGACTCCCATCTCAGCAGGGCCAGATGGCCAGGTCTGCTCTGTAGAAGAACGAGGCTGGGAGCACTGGAGCGGGGGTCCTGTGTGCTCCCCAGGAGCCCCTGCCCGGGCCCACAGGCTGTCTGGAATGCTGCCGCTTGCACTGACACTTAAGGCTCTAGGCTTCTGGAAAGCCAAGTGGTACACAGGGCAGGAGCCCCCAGGGTCACCCTAGGGACCCTGAAGCGGCCCCTCCCCGTGCGCACGTTTCCCTCTGGCTAATACTGGACACACTGTTCCCGATTTTGAGTCCTAGGGAAAAATGTCTCACATTTTAAAAGATATATTTATTTTCTCTCCCCAGTGTATATGGGGAACTTCCAGCCCCATTGTGGCCTCGCTGCGGAATGTGACAGCGGCGTTCTCCCTGGAAGCCAGGCCTGGTCCAAAAGCCACCCTGCAGCCTGGAGAGAGAAGGGGCTTGTGTGCCTGCGGCTCCGTCCACAGACCTGCCATTCACAAGGGCTGAAAGCGCAGCTTCATGGGCCCGGCCGCCTCGCAGCCAACAGGGCTTTGTATCTTGTCCTCAGGGAGGGGACACTGGCCGAGACCCCCCTCGTGTTTCTCTCGTCCGCCTTCAGCCAGGCTAGGATTGCCAGTGCTGGCCCCCGAGTGACCTCCGGTGGGTGACAGGAGACTAGGACCCACTTGTCACCAGTTCCTTCTTTTAATTCATCTCTATTTGCTCTGCAGATTCCCAGGGACACAGTGGTGATGGAGACAGGAAAGACCCCTGGGGAAGGAGGGGACACATTTACAACCCAACCCGGGGAAAGTGTGCACCCCAGTCCTGGAGACCCCATGGCGTCTCCTGAGAAGAGAATTAGGTCTCCGAGATGTGGAGGGAAGAGGAGCCATCAGCCCTGAAGCTTTCAGATTTGGGGGAGCCATGAACAGGGGCAAATGAAGATTAAAAAGGGGAGCCCGAGGAAAGGCCCCACACTGTCTTTTCACTAAACACGGCACCCAGGGGAAGGGGGCCTGCACTTCCATGCTTGCCCGCTCCTAACCTGGGTGGACAGCTTCAGCCTAGTCAGCGCCTGTGTCTGGGTCTCAGTTTTCCCATCTGACAAATGGGCTATTACATGCCATTGGCTCTGCTGACCTAACAGGTTTGTTGGGAGAACAAAGGAGACAGGGTGAGTGACTTTGCCATGTGCAAAGGATTGTCATCCTTATTGCTGAAAACTCTGAGAACAACTGGCTGGGTTTGCTTTTCTTTCTTTCTTTTCAGCAATACTGGGGATTGAACTGAGTGCCTTCACACTGAGCTACATCTCAAGCCCTTTTTTGTTTTCTGTGTTAAGACAGGGTCTCACTAAGTTGCTCTGGCTGGGCTAAAGTTTGTGATCTTCCTTCCTTAGCTCCCCACAGTGCTGGGATTACGGGCATCGACAAGCACATTTTATTTGCTTTTGGATTTTTTAAACAGGATCTCACTGTGTAGTTCAGGCTGGTTTTGAACTCACTGTGAAGCCTAGTTGATTCTCCTGCCTCAGCCTCCCGAGCCCTGGGATTGCAGGTGAGTGCCATCACTCTCTCCTTCTTATGAAGCCACCAGCACCCAATCAGGGCTCCCCATGACCTTACCTAATCCTCATCATCTCCTGGAGTCCCCACGTGTGAACACCACAGTCAGGTTCAGCTACTTCCTCACAGAGGGGGTCAAATGTCAACACATGAGTCTTTGGGGGCCACGACACTGCATCCAACCATTGACTTCGCCTTTCTCCATGCCAGAAGAAGAAATGAATGCAGCAGAGGTTTCCAGCTCCTGGGCCAGGCGGAGGGGTACAGCCAGGGGCCTGGGGAGAGAGGTGGGGATGGAGGAGCCAGCAGTGGGGCTGAGCCAGGCCTGGGTCCTTCCCCTGCAGTGACACTTATTAGCCGTGTGACGTCAGGCAGGTCTACCAGGTCTCTGTTCTTCAGCTCCTCTCCCGTGAATGCAGGGAATGACAACGTGGCTCCCAGGTCACCTGAGAAGGCAGGTGCAGGTGTCCTCCCTCATTTCCAGGTGACCCCCTGGGCCCAGAGAGGGGAAGTAACTCACCTGTGGTCACACAGGTGGTGTTAGTGATCCCAGGAGATCTGGGGCCTACAGCTGCTCTTTACCACCTTCCCCGCCACTTGTGCACATTAAGGGCCCAAGTCCGTGTTGGCTACAGTCAGGACCCTGAAGGCTAGTGCTAGGCAGAGGCAGCAGAAGGAAAGTGAGTTCTGGGCAGGTGGCCCCACACGTGCCATGGCCCAGTGGCCTTGGAGGAGAGTCAGGGGGGAACTGGGGAGGAGAGGCAGGGATAGCCAGGCAACAGAAGGGGAGGCATGTGAATGAGGATTTGGGGTTAGACTTGCGGGTGGGGAAGGACGGGTGTGGGGTGAAGGTGCAGGGCAGGCGGGGGCGGGCCACTGCCCTCAAGTGTTGCTGGGTGGCAGCTCCAAGTCTGCACGGGCTCAGCCCCCCCCCGCCCCGAGATTTCCTGAATTCCAGCTGCGGCTTGGTTACTTCTGCAGGCAAAGGAGCCCTTGTGGTTGGAGGGGCCTCTCGAGGGCTGCGCAGGGCGGGCACTCCCTCCCTCCCCAGGCACACACACCTCCATTCAGCCCGGCCCCACCCCTGGCCAGCAAGGTTGATAAGACGGGGACCACTGGCTCCCGCACCCCGCCAGCCACTGCCTGCGCTGCCTGCACCATGAAGGCCCTCTCGGCTGGCCTCGGGTTCTGTGCTCTGCTGCTGCTCCAGGCCCCATGCAGCCTCAGCCTTGTGCCCCAGTCCGGAGGTGAGGAGGCTGTGTGACATGGGGACACTGGGTGAGAGGCCCCGGATGACAGCTTGAAGTGGGCAGATGCTTCCTGGGATCCAGGATCGGGGCAGGGAGCAGGAGGGGCAGCGGGAGCCACAGAGATAGAAGCGCTGACAAGGGTCAGGGGAGGCTGCCCAGGGACCAGGCGCGGCAGGACTCAGACTTCAGAGCTGCAGGTGCTGCAGGCCCAGGCTGAGCTCTCGGCACCCTTCTTCTTCTTTCTTTTGTGGTACTGGGGCTAGAGTCCAGGGCCTTGTGCATCGTAGGCAGGCACCGTACCACTGAGTTATAGGCCCAGCGTCCTCACCCCCACTTTTTTTTTTTTTTGATGCTGGGGATTGAACCCACAGCCTTTGCACTGCAGCCCTGTTTACAATTTTTATTTTGAGACAAGGTCTCGCTAAGTTGCCCAGGCTGGGCTGAACTTCCGGTCCTCCTGCCTCAGCCTCTAGAGTGCTGGGATTCTGGGTGTGCAGCACTACACCTGGCTGTCCTTGGTCTTTGATGAGCGTGGATCTGGGGGACAAGAGTTGCCCCACCCGTCAGCCCTTCCCTGCACCTCCATGCTCCTCCCAGTGCATGTTGCAGCCTCCCTGAGTCTGCAGCGACAGTGGGCCATGGGGGTGACTTGGGGTGAACCTGGCCAGGCTGTCAAGGTAGCCACCAGGAATTCCTGCTTCTGGCTCTGCCTGGGAGACTCGAGCTTGCTGGGTCCACGAAGCTGGGGGGAATGGCCTCCACTCTGCCGATTCATCTGATGCCCATGTTGATGGGCACCACAGGGGCCCCCAAGGCTGTGCCCACCACTCCCCCCAGCCACCTGCCCAGCCTGGAGGACAGGTGTCCTGCTCTCCAGCAGCAGGGCTGGGCGGAAACATGAAAAGTGTGTTTTGAAGGCCGTCCCCACCCTCATGGGCTGGCCACCTCTGTGCCCTCCTGCTCATCCTCAGAGGATCCTGTCAGGGAGGGGTGGTCAGCCCACTGTACAGAAGAGCAAACTGAGGCTCAGGAGGGAAGCCAGGTGCCCAAGGCTGCCCTGGACACTGTCTTCCCACAAGCCAAGCTGTGGCCTTTGCAAGCCCCTGGTGGTGCTTACACACTGACCATGGACCCAGCTGGCCGCTGAGGCCCAGTCTGCTCTCTGAGGACTCAGCAGCTGTGCCCTCGGACCTCAGGCCCACTCTTTGTCTTCTTCCCCTCCCCCTCCCAGGGCACCTCTGTCGGACACGGCCCACGGACCTGGTGTTTGTTGTTGACAGCTCGCGCAGCGTGCAGCCCATGGAGTTTGAGAAGGTGAAGATGTTCCTGTCTCAGGTCATCGAGTCGCTGGACGTGGGGCCCAACGCCACCCGGGTGGGGTTGGTCAACTATGCCAGCTCCGTGAAGCAGGAGTTCCCACTGCGTGCCCACGGCTCCAAGGCTGCATTGCTGCAGGCCGTGGGCCGCATCCAGCCGCTGTCCACAGGCACCATGACTGGCCTGGCCCTACAGTTCGCCATCACCAGGGCCTTCAGTGACACCGAGGGCGGTCGCACCAGGTCCCCTGACATCAGCAAGGTGTGTGTGCCGGCCCTGAGAAGGGGCCCTAGCTGCGTTTCACTTTATGCTCACATCTCTGTGCTGAGGCCACTCCAGAGCCAGGGAAACTGAGGGCCCAGCGGGAGGTCAGCAGGCAAAAGTCCCCAGCCAGGGGTGGCACATCTGGGTTGAGACCTGCCTTGTCCTCGGAGCCCTGGAGCCCCACTGGGTGAGCTTGCAGACATCTCCTTTCTGCTGACCTTGGCCCCGTGGTTGGTCCAAGTCCTTGGAGGTAGAGTAGGGCAGGCAGGTGCTTATGTGATGGGGAGGGTGGACACCCTGCCCTCCGCCATCTGGGTTCAGGCCACTCCCCCACACTGCCACTGAGTGCCTTACTGCATCCCACCGGGCCTCGGTTTCCCCATCTATGAAACACCTGGTCAGAGTGCTGATCTGAGGGCCACGGGCACTGCACCGTGGGCTCAGAGTAGGTGTGACACCCAGCAGGCCCTTGGTGTATCAGTCCAGGTTAACTTCATCCCCTGAGCACTGGGCTCAGGAAAGCACAGCACAAGCCCCTTGCTGCCCAGTAGCGGAGGCTCCAGGAGTCCTCTGGTTTTGCACCCATGCGGGCACTGTTTCAGGGCTCAGCACAGGGCCTTTGAGGCCAGCTCCGAGCCTTCCCACAGCTTCCAGCACCTCCCCATTGCAGGAGTCCCCCTTATCTGCCCAGGGCCCCATGAAAGGGGTGGGGTGCTCCCTTTTACCCTTCTCTGTACACCATCTCTAGCATACAGACCAGTGACAGTCCTGCTCGGAGGGGGTGTCCCTGTTTCACTGATGGGGAAACTGAGGCACAGGGCACTGAAGCAACTTGCCCAACTACTCAGTGGTAGAAGCGCTCTAACAGCGCAGACACAACCCCAGCCATCTCAGCCCACCAAGGAAAGGGCACAGCAGCCAACCTGCCAGTCTCCCGTCGTGGGGCCACTTGGATCCCACACCAGGTGCTGTGGCTGAGCCCGGCGGTCATGGCCCGGAGGTTGTGTTGACTGTGAAGGTGATGGCAGTGACCCCTGCAGCCAGCCACACATTTCCAGGGCTCACCAATGGCCTAAGGCGGGTGAGGGAGGAGGGCACTCCCCGGCAGGGAACGCAGAGAGGAGGTGCTCAGCCCGGATGCCCCTGCACACAGATCCGAGGTGGAGGGACACTCTCAAAGCTGGAGTGCAGCTCGAAGAGACAGCCAGCCTCTGGCATGGAGCAGTCACAGCTAGGTGGTGCCAGGAGCCCCGGTGCTCAGCAGGGAGGAGCCTGCCGGTAATCCCTCCCCGGGAGCCCAGGGTAATGGCACTGGTACAATGAGCCGTCGCACTTGACAAACCACACACCCTTTGCACACACCCTTTGTACAGATGGAGAAACTGAAGCTCTGGAAGGTGGAGGTGCGTTTCTCCCCCAGCCTGTCATAACCACTCTACCACAGAGCACCAGGACAGGGCTCAGGCCAGGACCCAAGGGCAGGGCCCAGGAGTCAGCAGCAGAGGAGCAGGGGGCCAGCTCCAGCTGGGCAGAGTATGGTGGACCCTGGCCAGGCCAGAGGAGTGTGTGTGTGTGTGTGTGTGTGTGTGCGCGCGCCCGCAGCGCAGACAGATTCTTCCCCTCTCTGGGAGTGGAGGAATAAAGGGGCGGCATCTTCCCTCCTTGGGTTGGTTCCTTGTGGGATTGGCACTTCCTCCCGGGGCACAGAAATGGACACCAGCCTGGAGGCAGTGCCCCATTTGTTATCCTCGGCTCCCATCTGGTGGTCACATTGCAGAATGCATGGCGTTGGCGCCCTTGCTTGGCCGCAGCGGAGGAACTGGGCCTCGCAGCTTGGCCATTCTGTCCACGCTGAGCCTTGGGCGCAGAGCTGCGTGCAGAGCTGAGGGGCTCGGTCCGGCTGGGCGTGGCTCTCGGCAGCTCGGGGTCCTAGCACTCCCTAGTCCCAGGGAAAGCAGTACCTACGTCAGTGAGCAGGCAGATCGCCGGAGAGGCCTCAGTTTGATGGGGAGGCGTGACTTTTCCGTGACCTCAGGCTGGGAAGAGGTGTCCAGGCCTTAGTCGGATGAGACCACCCAAGCCAGTCTCCTCACTGGGATCAAACCCGGAGTGGCCCTGGGCTGGCAGCTCTGGCTTCTCCTTCTCTTCCGTCAAGGCCCGTGGGCTTCCCGCTGGACCCACGCAGGGAGGGGAGGGCTGGTCCTCACAGGGCCCCGTGTGTCACAGGTGGTCATCGTGGTGACCGACGGGAGGCCCCAGGACAGTGTGAGGGAAGTATCTGTGCGGGCTCGGGCCAGCGGCATCGAGCTGTTCGCCATTGGAGTGGGCCGCGTGGACAAGGCCACGCTGCGGCAGATGGCCAGCGAGCCGCAGGACGAGCACGTGGACTACGTGGAGAGCTACAGCGTCATCGAGAAGCTGTCCAAGAAGTTCCAGGAGGCCTTCTGCGGTGCGTGGGGCGGGGCCAGCCTCGGGGCGGGACCGAGGTGGGCGGGGCCAGGGTGGGATCCTCCCACTTGTGCAGTGCGTCTGAGGGCAGGACCTTACCGTGAGGGTGAAAGAGGTAAGGCAGGGTGTAATGCTCCATGCATAGTGATTAACACCTTCTTACCGATGCAGTTCTATATGCTGTGTGCATTGTGGGGTGCAGCAGTGAACAGAACAGAGTCAGGGGCCTTTTCCTGCGGCCTTTACCCTTTTGATCACTGGCATTGTCACCTTCTTCAGGGAGCTTGCTCCTGATGCAGTGGTTCCTGCCCTGGGTTGAGACTTCATCTGGTGTGTGTGGGGTCTCAGTTCCCCCGAGTGGGTGAAGAGCCCTGGTCTCCATGATCAGGGAGGGAGATATCCAGAGACTTCTCCCTGTGAGATCTGAGCCTCCTCCTTGTCCCCCAGTGGTGTCAGACTTGTGTGCCACGGGGGACCACGACTGTGAGCAGGTGTGCCTCAGCTCGCCAGGCTCCTACACCTGTGCCTGCCACGAGGGCTTCACCCTGAATAGCGACGGCAAGACCTGCAATGGTCAGTGGGCTGGACAGGGGTGAGGCCTGGGGAGGTTAGGAGGGGAGGCGGTGGGGCCGGGCTTCCCTGCAGGGAGCTTTTCCAAGCCTCTCGGCACTTGGCTTCAGGCCCAGTCTTCAAAGTACACAGTGTGGTGTCCTGACTTGTGTCCCTCTCTGGATCACACTGGCTGGCAGATTTAGGGTGGAGAAAGAGTCACACAGTCTTGAGCTCAAATCTCGGAGCCACTGTCCCTGGGCAGTGTGATTTGTCAGCTGTTCCAGTGCTGTAAGGTGGGGCTGGTAGTGCTGACTTTAGGGAGGGGCTCCGAGTACAAAAGCAGGTGGTCCCTAGCCCAGAGAGTGTGTGTGGCAGGTGCCCAGCCACGCCCGGGATCGATGACTGAGTCCTAAGCTCATCTCTGTGCCTCTGTGCCCTCCACAGTCTGCAGGGGCAGCAGTGGCAGCTCAGCCACTGACCTGGTTTTCCTCATCGATGGATCCAAGAGCGTGCGGCCAGAGAACTTCGAGCTGGTGAAGAAATTCATCAGCCAGATCGTGGACACGCTGGACGTGTCAGACAGGCTGGCCCAGGTGGGGCTGGTGCAGTACTCGAGCTCTGTGCGCCAGGAGTTCCCGCTGGGCCGCTTCCACACAAAGAAGGACATCAAGGCAGCTGTGCGGAACATGTCCTACATGGAGAAGGGAACCATGACTGGGGCTGCCCTCAAGTATCTCATCGACAACTCCTTCACGGTGACCAGCGGTGCCAGGCCCGGTGCCCAGAAGGTGGGCATTGTCTTCACGGACGGCCGGAGCCAGGACTACATCAATGATGCTGCCAGGAAGGCCAAGGATCTCGGTAGGTGCTGCCTGCCTGCACCCGGACACACTGACAGCAAGGGCCGCGCACTGTTTACCCGGGTGCCTTCGGATTAGTGCCCTAAACCCAGCTAACTTTAAATGGAAAGGGACTTGTTGGCCAGATCTCTTATACTGATGATAGAGTGGAGGCTGCACAAGAGTGAATGGCTTGTCTTGAGGGTCCTTCTGTAAGTGAGATTTGAAACTTTTCCATCTGAACATTTGTCGTAAGAACACCCCAGCTGTTGGAGGGCAACCTCACTCAGGGACAGGCCTGACAGACAGTTTTATCACATATTAAATGAGGAAAATAAGAACCACTAGATGAGTAGCTGTGAGGATTAAATGGGGCTCCCATTACAGGGTCTGACACATAGTAGAACCTCAGTAAATGGTTTTCTCCTTCGTCTTGTTCCAGGCATTGAGCCTGTAATTCCAGCAGCTGCCACCAGGAGGTGTCTGGTGTTGGCTGCCAGGCAGTCCCTGGGAGGCTCAGCTGTCCGGGCAGCAGTCTTCCTGTCTCCTTACTCTGGCAGGCTTTAAGATGTTTGCTGTGGGTGTGGGCAACGCCGTAGAGGACGAGCTGAGGGAAATCGCCTCAGAGCCCGTGGCAGAGCACTACTTCTACACGGCTGACTTCAAGACCATCAACCAGATTGGCATGAAGTTGCAGAAGAAAATCTGTGTGGGTGAGTGAGGCTGGGGCACCCATGGGAGGGCAGGCAGGGCTTCAGTGTGAGTGTGGGTTGCAGCCATCCCCGAACTGGGGGTGGGTGGGGAGGGCAGGGGCGGATTGACTGCAAATGCTGGCAGCACCAGGAGGTGGGCTGGATGGGACAACTTCTGCTCCTAGGAGGCATACATGAAGTGCGCTTCTCACGGATGGCACTGTTCTCAGTCCTCTCCAAATACGACATCACCTCTCTTGCTCGGAAGGAAGATCACGGCCCCCATTTTATAGACAGGAAAACCAAGGGAGCCCAGGGTGGGAGCAGCACAACTGTTAGTATCTGGGGAGCCAGGATGGAACCCGCCATGTCCCCTGTCCTCTGTGGTGCCCTGGCCAGCTGGTCCAGGTGGAAAGCCCCTGGGCTCCACAGCCAGCATGCCTGGGTTTGCATCCTGGCTCCCGCACTGAAGGCCACAGCTAGTTGTTTCAGTCTTGGATTCCTCACGTGTGAAATGGGACTAAACCCGGAGGGGTGGTGTGAGGAGTCACTGAGGTGACACAGAGGCCCTGAGCAGTGCCCAGCACTTAGTAGGTGCTCAGCACAGGAGCTGGTACTGTAGTTCCTTATCTGGGCTCCCAGGATCCAGGAAGACATCCAGGGTCGCCCCTCTGTCATTCCCAGGAATGCCGTCTTTCAGCTGTCCTATTTCTGTCCTCTGCCTTCCCAGATATCGTAGCCCCTCATCCCCTAGGTCTTCCTAGTGCTGGCCCTGGGCAGTGACTCTTTTGCCCACCCCGGCAGCCACTCAACAACTTCCTGCTCTTTCCCCACTTCCTGTCTACTGCAGAGGAAGACCCATGTGCCTGCGAGTCCATTGTGAAATTCCAGGCCAAAGTGGAGGGGCTGCTGGAGGCCCTGACCAGGAAACATATCCTTTTCCAGAGGCCAGGGTGGGAGTGCAGGAGGAGCAAGGGGGCTTGGGCACTGTGGGGCATCGGGAGGGAGGCCTGGCCCCAGAGGGGTCGGGTCAGGGCAGGATCCTCCTCGCCTGGGACCTGATAAAGGAGGCCTGGGTTCTGCCAGATAGGTGGGCATCACCCTTGGTGCAGTGTCAATGAAGAAATTCTCAGAGGGTGCACAGAGAAACTGAGGCAGGACCAAACTCTAGAGACGATGCACACAGAATCCTGGACATGCTCAGGAAATGTGCCCTGTGGACTTCGAATTTCTCAGGCTCAGTGTGACAATCATCAGCCCCATTTAGAGACGTCCTGGGCCCTGAACACCTCGTAGGTTCAGCCAGGACTAGGTGGGGACCCGCAGGGCTAAGCCAGCCACTGGGCATATTGGCACCCCAGGGCTCAGTGGGTACCCAGGGCTCATGATAACCAGTTGTGGCTTTGGAAAGCAGCATTTTGAGCAGGGTGAAGGGATGAGTTTCGACAGTGGGGAAGACAGGTGGGTAGGGGTGGGAGAAAGCTGTGGAAGAGGGGCTGGGAGGGAACAGGAAGTGGGATGCCTCTCCTTAACTCAGCCTCACTTGAAGCTGTGAGTAAGCGGCTGGCCATCCTGGAGAACAGAATCATCTAAGGCTGCCTGTCTCCACCTCAAGTGTGGCTCAGAGTTCCACATGTGTCCCTGGAGCCCCAGTTTAGTCTAGCTTTGTCATTTTAGCTGGGGGCTACAGAGGGGTCTGGTGCTGGAGCCACCCCGGGACTCCCCAGCCTCTGCCATTCTGTGGCTGGAGCAGGAGGGCGTGTCTGCGTGTGTCGTCAGGAGTGTGTGGTGCGTTGGGGGTGTGTGTGTCTGTGAGCAGGAATGCGTGTGCAGCAGTGAGAACATAGGGATGACTGGGAGAGAGATTGTTTGCATTTTTGTCTAACCAGAAGCTTAATATATTCCATTTTTTTTAGTTGACTCTTTCTTGACTTGGAGTACTGTGAATCTCTTTTCTGATTTCTCTGTTCCCTGATGAAGACCAATTAAATGTGATTTAATTTAAGCACTGAATGGGGCTAGAGGCAGTGTGGTTATCGGGGGCGGGGGCAGGAGAATGGATTGAGGAGGTGACGGAGTGATGGTCATCAGAGGGATGGTAACAGAGGTGCCGATGGTGGTGACAGTGTCCACACCCAAACCAGATCAAGTCTGTCCTGCCTTTTCAACTACAAACTCCTTTGTGTGTTTGCACCTCGTCCTCCCAATAAGTGCACCCAGAACACACCTGCACCATCCTTGTTTTACAAATGGGGAGGCTGAGTGTCTGATGAGTGACTGCCCAGCAGCAGGTCACTGGGAGAGGCAGGCCTTGAATCAGGGACTGAAAGGCAAAGGCACCAGATCAGACTCCTCCATTCACACATTTACTTATTCAGTCAGGCGTCAAATGCTTGCAGAGCACACCCAGGCAGAGAGCAGGCAGAGAGGAGGTTGGGGCGGAGAGAGAGAGGCCTTGCCCTTAGGAACACACAGTGGGACAAGAGGCTCATGCCGCCCTCACCCAGCTGGGGAGGAGAATGTGCCTGGGTGGTATCCAGGCTCTGCACCTCCTCTGGAGTCGGGGAGCCCACAGGGAGAGGGGATGTGAGTGTGGGTGTAAGCAAGATGATGGAGAGGGCCCCGAGTCTGGGCTGGCCGGGGTCCCTGCCCTCCTATCACACCCCATGGAGCCCCCTGTTTGCTGGTGCATTGCAGGCTTCAGCCCAAAGACAGGGCAGAGCAGCCCCGCCACCGCAGGGACTGCACAGGGAGAGGCCGGGAGCCCAGCTTCCCTGCCCCACCCCACCTGGGGTCTGCCTGCCACCTTCCCCTGCTGCCTTCCTTGGGAGCAGTACACTTATGCATCTCCATCCTTTGCCTCTCAGAGAGGGAGCTTTTGTGATTTTCTGAACTCATTCTTGTTTAATGGAGCGTTTTTAGTGTTACTACTGGATTCACACTCGAGAGCGTGTAAAAGGTTTTTACAAGAAGCTCAGACCTTTCCAAAAGCTCTTCCTTGGAGGCAGTTTAAGGAGGCAGAAAAACAATAGTAACAGCACTCCAGAGCCACATCAATCCAACAGCAGGAGCACGTCCCCTTGACACAGCCACTGCAGGCCTGGGACTCCACCACCACCTTGCACAGTGCTCACCAAGCCCTCTCACTGTGCCAGGTCCTGGGTTAGGGGCATTTCTGCTGTCTTAGGAGGCTCCTTGTCACAGTATCCAGGTGGTCACTGCTCAGACCATGCTTCCTTTCTTCTGAGACTCTCCCCTCCCCTCTCCATCCGCAGAGGCAGAGAGCAGCAAAGTCAGTGCTGTGTAACTATGGTTCTTGGCCTCCGCTGATTGGCCAGTAGGTGGACACCTGACCCAAGTTGGACCAATCAGCATCCTTCTCTTGGAACATGGACCTGGGAACCTTAGTTACCTGACTGGTGGTACAGGAACTGGGAAGGTCTCCATCTTTTTCCAGGCACCCTAAAAGGCAAAGGTGGAAGGCCCCCTCTGGAGAGAGAAAAACAGCATTTGCTGGGCTGTTGATGGCTTTCCAGTCCTAAGATGTTTCATTTAGCTGTTGTAGTGTAATACACAGTCCCCACACTTAGTGGCTCAGAACAGCCATCTTTTATTGACATTCAGTGGTCGATGGGGCTCAGCTGGTGGCTCTTCTGTTGCTGGTGGGCTTGGCTGGTGCTGTAGTCACCTGGGTCACATCTGTCTGGCGGCTTGGTAGAGACGACTGGAAGACTGGGGTTTTCTATTTCTGCATGTAGCCTCAGGGCCTTACCTTCTCCACATGGGCTCTGTAGCAGGGGAAATGCACTTCTCATGTGGGAACTCAGGGCTTCCAAAAGCTTCCTAGGATGGAGGCCCCAAATTGGCATATTTGCTTCCACCGCATTTGATTGGTCAAAGCCATTGCAGGCCAGCCCAAATTCAAGGACCAGGAGATAATGTCAGTTCTCCATAGGAGGAGAGTGACAAAGAATTAGGTCATTCATTGGTCTCCTTGGTGGAGTTGTCTGTATTCTTTGACCAGAGACACTTTATGTAGTAGCTTTGTGTCACTACAACAAAACACCTGACTTTTTCTTTCTTTCTTTTTTTTTGTTTTTGTTTTTTTGAGACGGGGTCTTGCTATGTAGTTCAAGCTGGCCTTGACCTTAGTATGTACTCCAGGTTGGCTTTGAACTCACAGAGATCCTCTCATCTCAGCCTCTCGAGTGCTGAGAGGCATATGCTACCATACTTGGCAACACCTGACTTTTTAAAGAGACAAGCCTTATTTATCCCACCTCTTTGGAGATCTAAGTCCAGGACAGGGTGTCCCTGTTGGTTTGGTCTCTGGTGAAGGCAGGTGTGGGAGCAGATGGTCTAGTCTCAAACTGGAGGTGGGGGACAGGGAGATGGAGGAGATGAGAGCTATAGACATAGATAGGTAGGGAGAGGGAGAGGGAGAGAGACGGAGAGAGAGAAAGAAACTGGGGTCTAGAATCCCTTTCAAGGCTACAGCCTCAGTGACCCAAGGACCTCCCCCTAGGCCCTGCCTCCTAAAGGTCCTACCATCTCCCTGTAGCACTACTCTGAGGATGAACCTTGAACCACAGGCTTTTGGATGCTACTCCAGCCTATACCCAAAGCATTGCCCCAGGAACCCTCGAGGCCTTGTCAGCAGTCACACTTGGTCCAGGAGCTTTCCACTCCACACAGCATGAGAGTTCTGGCTCAGCTGTCCTCCTTCACCTCCATCTTCTTGCATCTGTGTGGTGGCCTTGGAGTCCTAGTTCTCATCCTTCAGTTCTGGGAGGTGGTGAGTCTGTCCTAGGCCCCAGCCCCTGTAAACTCTGCTACCCAGTGGCTTGGCAAGTCTCTAGCTAGGGGAGGGGACACAAGTGCTACCTCCTGGCCTGCCAAGCGTGTGGGGAAAGGCAGCCCTTTCTACTCTGCTTCTGGCCAGGTGGGGTGGCTTCCTGGCCTCGGGGGCATAGCCACACTTAGTACCCTGAAGCTTCTTTGAGATGCCTGGTCTGAAGTAGCTGTGCCACCTGGGGGACCTGCTACCTGCAGAGTTCACCTCAGAGTGTAAACCATGGTGTTTACAAGTCTTATACTCCTCAACAGGGGTCTCGGCCCACCAGGCTCTTGTTGATGGGCACTGAACCTCCAGTCTGTCCAGGAGGTAGACACTGGGATGACCTTGTCTCTGCTCTGGGTATCACTGAGGGTGCCAGGGCTCGGGAGGAGGGTGTTGTGTGCACATGAGCTTCCAGGATAGCAGCGTTCTGCATCAGTCAGTCAGTCAAGCAGCACATGCATGTAGCGCACCTATGCCAGGCCCTGTTCTGGGCACCAGCAGTAGAACAGAGGAGGCCCCTGTCTTCGTGGGCTGACGTTCTGGCTTTGTTCTACTTATGCTGTGTCTGTGTGAGCCTGGACCTGTCACCTTGCCTCCCGTGGGCCTCAGTTCTCCTCTGTTGCTCCAGAAAAGAGGAAAAATCTCTGAAGGGGAACAGAGTGCCTTCAGAAGGATCCCAAGCACTCAGTCCTGCTTTTTTGAAATAAACCAAGAACATAAGGGGCCAGGAGCCACTGCTGGGCTGGCAGAGAGTGGCTGTGGGGCTCCGAGTTTGCAGGAGATGCCCCATGGGGAAGGGGTGCTGGAGAGAGGCCAGGAGCCCTCAGCCTTGAGAGTGAATCCCCCAGGGTCCCCTGGGCAAACTCCTTCACCTCTGACCCCAGCTTCCTCAACTGTAAACAGGGGCAGTCACCCTCCTCAGCACCGAGGGCTGCCAGGGAGCCCAGGGCTGGGTGTGCCTGTGACCCGTCCTGCTGGGCCGCCTGGAGGAGAGAGCACAGGCAAATTTGCAAGGAGAGGCTGGAGGGGCCCTAGAGGTTGCCCAGTCCTTTGGGGGACATCTGGATCTGGAGGTGTGTGAGGGGGAGGGTGGGGGCTGAAAAGAGGCCCAGGGCTGGGGAGGGGTAGGGCTAGTAGTAAGGCAGGGCCGGCAGCTCTGGGGGTAGCCGTGGCCTTGCTGCTTTGTTCCTTGGGCCATTCATTCATTCATTCATTCATGTGCTCATTCAACATGTATTAAGCATTGCTGACAGCTGTGCGGACACCAGTTGCTGGGGGTAAAAATAGAAAATGCCCAGTGGTTCCAGTCTCCTGGTGCTGGCAGTGCTGGGGGGAGACAGACATCAGAGGAGAAGCTGCACGGAGAATCCCACCGGGACTGCAAAGGGAGGGCTGGTGGAGGCCCGGGAAGGTGGGCCTGAGCTGGACCTGAAGGCCATCCCAAAGGGGCAGGAGAGCGGGAAGAGTGTGCT